AAGCATGACATATAACAGAAGAAGTGTAAAACGAAATAGCGTTCAACGGAATCCAGCAGATGTTTACTTTTTTGTTAGGTTTCGAAAAGTTGGAAGAGTTACCCTCGGTACATACGCCCTCTAGCCATCTGCATTGGGCTAATCTAGACGTACGTTATGTTCAAGGAAAATAAAACGGCAATAACGAATGCAAAAAACGTTCCGCTAGAAAAATATTTCCACGAAAATTCTACACAAATTTCAACCAGCTGACGAGACTGATGTGGTGGTGAATATGCTCGAAAAACATGTACCAATTTCTCCGCCCACAACCACAGGGCTGTTGTTGGTAGAAACCAGCGGGAGGATTTAGAAACGAAGTGGTAGTAGAAATCGATGGCATTGAAAAGTCACATGTTTCGATGGTTGTGTACTTATCGTCATCGATCCAATCGTAAGTAAATGTCATCCAAGTTTCAACACCCAAAATTACACCTTAAAGTATGCAGCAAATGCAAGTTTAATGCACCGTTGGAAGGAACGTGACAGTGTGCCAACCATGGTCATTGAGTTTCAATTTCTCCTCTCATTTCCCACATCATCACCACAAACCGAGCGAACCAGAAACTCCACACCATACACGGTCCTGCTGCTGAGCTGGGTATGCAGTGCATGCAGTCTGCTCACTATTTGCATACATTGAAATCCACCACCCACGACTGTGAAACCACGCCAATTCTGCTTTTTGTTGATACATTATCGACCAACCAACGAGCCACCACACACTGGGCGTGACATGATCCCTGACTCTGTTCCTAGCATACCTGGGAGCTGTAATTTGTTCCATCCACACACCAAGCAGCAATAATGATCGCCCGGTTCCAAGGACTTTCGCTGCTCGTCAATTTCACCAACATGGTTGCTTCTATGGTGCACAGTTCGGGTTCGGAAAAGGCATGTTTCTTAGTTTGTTCAAAGACATTCGCGATTGCTTTCCTTGCTTTGGGGTGGCAAATCGATTGTGCAGTAGCAGAAGGGTAACGTTATATATTTGGAACCATGGAACGGACCATGGTGTGTGGCAAAGGGTAGAAAACGTGCAATGGTTGCTAGAAATGCTATTTGCTGCACTGTCCCCAAGCTGTTGGTTTTCCACTCTTCCACTTTTTTTTTCTGGAGCTGGTCCAACCCCTTTCTGCACGGATGACGCGCGAGGCAGGTTGTGGTGGTGGTTTGCGTTGCCTTCAAAGGTTCAAGGTTAATTGCCTGTTGGCCGGCGGGGGCGGTTGCATACGATTGGAGTGTAATGTTCGTAGTGGTGGTGCAATTTGTTCGTGTAATTCCCCTCGAGTTCCTCAAGGAGGAGAAAAACGAACTATTATATTGGCAGGATATTTATTGCAGGGTAAAAACAAAAACCCTTTCTAATGAGATTGATAGGTCAAAGTGCTCTACTATCTGTAATCGCATAACGGGCGCATATGAATACAAAATCAATACAAAGATGGGACTGTGGTTAAGGGCAACAAGGTGTCATCAGTTGATCAGTTATTAATCATTCCTTGTTTTCGCCCCAAATTAGTCTATTCTCTTAGATGGTGTAACGAAATCAAACTGCTATAACTCAAAGATCAATAAATGTGCAAATTTTCAGTTGATCCGGTTGATTGTACTTCAAGAAATAACAGTTTGAAATGGTAGTTAAATAAGAAGCGTTTTATTATAATGCATCAATGAAAATGCTGAGGTTTTAATAGAACTATGCTGTGGCCACCACAGTTTTCTACATTTGATAGTCCATATCTAGATAGAGCTGGAATTAGGGCGAAACAGCTTTTGTAAACAATGCCTTCTTTCGATGATTTCTTGAAAGCCATGGCTCTCCCTGGCAAATAGACATCACAATCGAGTAGGGGAGGACTTGGATATGTTGCTTTATGTAGGCGTGCCTTGAATTCCTAGAAATCATTGAGAGAAGTCATTGTATACAAAGGCTGTTACGCCCTAATTCCAGCTCTTTCTAGATATACAGTAGCGCCAAAAGCATGCTGTGGTGAGTTCAAAACTTGACCATCTAAATTGATCAATAAGCGGCGTCGGTGGTGTAGTGGTAAGGTGGTTCAATCCCAGTCGGCTCCGCCGGGATGTTCTGTGGCAAGTAAAGCCGTTGGTCCCCGGTTCATCGATTTTTGGGTCGATTTTTTTTCCTTGTCGGGTATTTTCATCACTGCGACCATTTTTCTGATCTATTGTGATATATTCCCCATTTTTTTCTTTAGCTATATCTAGATACCGTATCACTATTATTAGGAGTGATCGCCATCGTTTGACTATGGGTCGATAGGTAGGGTCCAGGTGTAGCAGTTGCCTCCCTGGCGTCGGTAGCATTGTTGCTCAGCACGGAAAACAAGATCGACGGAAAACAAATCAAGGAAAAAAAATAAACTGATCAATTGCTCAAAATTCATGTAGACTCATCCAATGAAGCGCAAAACTATACCGATAAAAGTTTGAAGAGTTGATCAACCAGCAGCCAATATTTTGATGCACATCCTAAAATGTTACAGTATGTACTGTATGTTCGTTGAGCTTTAACAAGTAAGAGGCGAACTATTGAATACGTCACGCTCAAAGAAGGGGAAAGGGATAGGCCTTTTCAATGCACCACCAACGTAGAGGGCACCACGAGAGTTCAAGAGGAAACGTCAACCAAACCGTTTGTTTACATCAGAAGAAGGATTTCTCACAACGCAAATTAAAGCATTTTTCATTGAACATCTTGCCAATTTCCATCAGTAATTGTTTTATTTTACGATTTCCCACACATCTGAACTGATTTGCACCTAAACTATTCACACACATGACATCCGGAAGATCATAACCTCTAAGGCACTATTGGAATTTTCCATTTTTCTCAGCAAAAATGATACAGAATTAAATTTGTCAACTATAGATCGAGTTTTCGAGCATCTCAGATGAATCAATTTATCAGGAAAAGTGGAAAAAGTGTTCCGCTCCCAATGTCTCACGGCAAACATTTCTGCTCACAACACTCTTTTTGACGTTCTCATATTCACCACCAGAGGTTGAATCAATCGCTTAGTTTCTATCAAAAAGGCGTATAGGTATCAATTTTTCCTGAATTTTGCGTGATGCTCCACCATAATGGTTTGTTGATACCTACCCTCAACCAAGCTTGCAAATGCTCATTACAGCTAAAATGCTATTTTTCGGATTTATGAAGCTATGAGATATTTTAATGATAATTCTTATTTACAAGATGCAAGAAAAGAAGGTAAAGTGTATGTATGACAATAGCGATTAGCTGTAACGATGAACAACGCGATGAGCGAGCAATCACCGATCATAAAATCATTAGTTGTGGATTTCTGAAAGCAAAATTGACCAATTTTATATGTCATACACAAACTTTACCACCTCTTCTCGCTTTTTACAAATAAAAATTATCATTATAGTATCCCATAATTTCATAATTACGAAAACTAGCATTTTAGCTGTAATGAGCAATTGCAAGCAGTCTTGTAAGCGGTCACGGTAGTCGACACATTTTCTGTGATAATTGACTGTCTTTGCCTCCGACACTTGCAAAACAAGCTATCATAGTACAGTACCAAACTAAAATGTCATATGACAGCCTCTGTCATACGACACTGTCGCCGAAGACCGTCACGAATGTATGTATTTTAGTTTTTCTCATAATAAGAGCTGCTGATGGTGTGCTTGTGTGAATTCTGAAAATAGCAAGCTATGATGTCCTAGTAATAATATTTCTGATCAGAAATGGTTTGATTTACACCAAACTGAGGAATTACAACGAAATCACACATGTCATATGATAGCTATTTTGATAATTTTCTTTTACCTCGAATGTTATTCTACCGCTCGTGTTGTGTGATAGAGACGACGGTATAGCATGAGTTTTCGAATACAAACAGACTGTCGCGCACGACAACGAAGCGAGTGTAGTAAAAAACGTCAACTGTTTCAACCCCTGATTGCAAGCCTGCCCTCAACTAAGTGGTCTTTGGACATTTCCACAGTTTGAATGCTTTGTATACCTACAACATATAATCTAACCGTTATTATATAACCTAGTCATGCAGTGTTGTCTTCAACCATGCTTCACCTTCTAAACCGTGTTAAATGTGGAGACGCCTGGTATATGTTTCCTTCTGAAAAAGCAACACATCTTCATCAACATTTCCAAAAGGTGAAACTGCTTTTGTAAACAATGGCTGTAGTCATCGACAGGCATGGAAAATCATTTGCATTAATTTCATACATTCATTTACATTCTCTAACATTTTTCATCAACGGCATTCCGCAAAATGATGCATACAGCTTCTGTAGGTTTTGTTATTAGCTACAAGTTTTGTTCATAACTCAAATCTGTATCTCTTATGCATCACGAACTAGAGCGGGCAGAACTTGTTATTGTTTTTCAGTGAATGTAAAATACATTCACTGAAAAACAGTAGTGGCTTCTGTTCGCTCTGCTTCGTCATGCATAAGAGATACGGATTTGACTTGTTAACAAAAGTTGTAGCTAATAACAAAACCTACAAAAGCACAATACATCATTTTGCGTAATGCTGTTGAAGAAAAAAGTTAGAGACAAATGAATGTAAATGAATGCACGAAATGAATGCAAATGATTTTCCATGCCTGGTCATCGATTTCTTGTGAATAAAAGCTCACACATGCAATCTAACAACAGAATCCTATAAGGGAAATGTTTCCTCTACCAGTTGGTATGGTTAGTTAGCAGGAGTGAGCTTTGCGGCGGTCATTGTTTGCCGAAGCAGTTTTGCCTTAACGAAATGTTGGCATCGACATACCGCACTAGTCACCAATCACATCCTAAACATTTCTGCACCGCCCTTCCACCTGTTCTGTTCGCTTGTGACTGTCTTTCTGGGAAGCGGTCTTAAATTTAAGTCCACATCCTCATCTAGGGAAACCTTTCTAATGTCTCATTAACCGTCTTCCTATTATTTTAGGTTTCGAGGTCTACCTGAAGGCTAAAATCGAAAAGCTCTCGCAAATGGATCCCGCTGCTGCGGCGGCTGCTGTTGCTGCCGTTGCTGCGGCAGCCAATGCAGGTAGCACCAGCAAATACGGCTTTCCGGCACTGATGAGCAAATACAATCTGGAAAATTACTCGACCAAAAGCATCGACGAAAGCAAAGCGTCCGTATACTTTACTCCGAACGATGGTCACCTGAGTCCGGAGCCGCCGCTACAGCTGCAAGTGTCGCCAATTCATATCAACTACATCAACGACTGCACGATGGGGGAGAGCTCTGGGATGTCCGCTCTGGGATTTCTTGGCGGAGATACACCCAAGTCGTTTAAATCGGCCTTGGGTGGTGCTGCAGGTGGGAGCGGTATACTTCCAATCGGGGGTGATGGGATGGTGGTAAGGTCGATTCTGAAACCACCGGGTAAATTCGTGTATGATAGGAATCTTCAAAAGTATCGAATGTGTTATCAACCGAATAGGTTGAGTGGGGGTTACGTTGGGGACGAGATGGATGAAAGTATAAAGTATGAGTGCTACAACGATGCGTTGGAGGGCGGTGACTCGTGTGACGACGAGGGCAACTATAGTCTGAAGCATACAAGAAAGCACAAGAGAAAGAGAAAAGCAGTCGGCAAGCCGGCGGGAGGGAAGCAACTGTGCGAGTATGAGACTTTGCTGATGAAGAATTTGAGTTGTGATCCGAAGGAGGGCCATTACAAAATTATTCATATTAATAAACTGGGTGGGGGAGTTGGAGGTGGTCCGGTGGGAAGTGGTTGGACGGCTGGTCGAGCAATCAACAGGAAGAAGCTTCCGAACAATAGCGATTACTACAACTCGCTGGAGGATATGATTCAGGATAATAACGAAAAAATTCGCAAGCTGATATACGATTCTAAAATTGACATTATGAACGAGGTGATAACAGGGAGTAATAGTAGAGATAAGGTTAGCAGTAGTAACAGTACGAATTGTAGGAGTAATATGCACTTTGAAAACAGGGAAACAGAGCGATTGAACCGCTCATCGGTGGCGGTAGATGTGATGGTTCGTCAAAACGTTCCAACGATGGCGAATGCCGTCGCTCGGAGCAATAGCAATAGCAGTAGTAATAACAACAGTCAAATGAACAGTGGCTGCGACAGTCGGGATTCACCCTCGACTACTCAAAACCTCAACTACCACCAGCCTTTGAAGAAAATTCACAAGCTTCACTTCGATTCCAGTACAAACCGTATCCAGCAGAGCACTAGTCTGCCGGAGATCTGCTTTGGTTGTTCCCCGTCTAGCTCCAGTTCGACGCTGATGCATAACTCGGCCATGGTCGGTCAGCCGTCGAATGCTCTCACCGCGGCCTCCAACAAATCCTCCAACCAGTCAATCGTTCAGCAGCAGACCCTGTCGTCGGCTTCATCAATCAACTCCAACGTAGCTCATCCAGCTCTCCCTCCGAATTCCTATCATCAGCCAAAAGTGCACGGTAAACATGTGATCTTGGCGGTGGAAAACCATGGCCACGGCGACGACTCGTCCGTGCCACCATCGCCAAAACCTGACGCCAGCAAGTAAATAGTCCCCATCTCGCCAGCATGTCGCGTCGTCGTTGAATGCATACGATCAAACATCTTTCATCTTTTCACTACACTTTTGTCTACTGCAACAGTATATCTAGAGATAGTGCAGAAGCAACATTCAAATTCACATACAACACTATACAGTAGGTACCACTGCAATTATTTTTTTTTTCCGTTAACCAACCATGAGATACACCGTACAGTTATCTAGCTTTTTTTTTTAAATATATATAAATCCATGCTTCTATCATTAGGTTTCCTCTGTAAATAAATCTAAAATATATACATAACCCCCGTTTGTATACCGTTGAACTATTTAATATGCGCAAATAGCAGTTGATTACGATTCATCACACTAATAGGGTCAGTGGAAATTCGCATTGATGTTATAGAAATAAAAATACGAACCTAAACCTGACGATAATCATAGAAAATATTTAAAATTTGTAATATTAACCAAACTTTTGGGCAAATTGATTCGAAAAAAGTGAAGAAAAATGTGAACTGTTGTGGGAACTTGTACCCTTCTTGAGTAATAATTTTAAGAAAGCAGATTGTTCATTCGGGTGCGGCTTGTTTTCATATTTTCTGAACTTTTTAAGGAATGCTTTTTTTTCACGGCTCAAGATAGTCGGAAAGCGGAACAGAATCAGAAGTCCTTGGAACAGTTGAACCACTTTTCATCGCTATAATTCGGTGGTCGCCTTCAATATCGAGTTAGGGAGAGTTGGCTGTTATTAATAAGTCACTTCATAAGCCATTTGAAAAACTTAAAAGCTCTATTAAATAATGTTCGCCTTCACAGTACTTTTCAAATGATCCGAACGTCGCTCGGGATCTGAGAAAAATGTCAGAATCCCAGATCTTGAAAGTACCAAATACACTGAACATTCGCTAACTGAAAGGTTGATTATTTTAAAAATTCCAACTAGCGTAAACCAATTTAGACTACTGTAGGAAATTGGTCAGCCGGCAACTTATTTTTAACAGTAGTCAAAATTTGTCGACGATAAGGTGGAATTTTTACAAAAATCAAAAAAGCTTCCGTTTAGTTAGCGAACGTTTAGTGTAATGATTGTAGCTGAATAAGCAGTTTCAGGCAAAATAACTGTATTTTTGCTTGAATAAGCTTAGTCAGCATTCAATGTTGGTTTGGCAGGTCTCGTATTTTCAGACCAGGATTCTGAAAATTTTACTAGTCCAAGTCCCGAGATCTAGATTTTTTCCAAGCCCCAAGTCTTGTAGCTTTCTATCTAGGTTCTTCTGGGACTTCTGAAAAGATTGCTACAGGTTGGACTCGATTATCCGCAGACTTTTTTTCGCTTCCATCGCTGAGCTCTTGCAAACGATCACACAAAGGAACACCACCATCGGACAGAGAAGACAATCCTCAATCCATTGGTAATGATGATTTGAGTGATTTAGTTGTTGTTTGCCAAGAAATCGACGATGGCAGTGAAAGGGGTCAACTTCTCCCCTTCCATAGAGCTTTTATTTATATTTTTGGTTTATATTTCAAAATCGCAAATTAACTGACTTATGTGTCACTTGGGTAGGTACTTGTTAAAAAAATTAAAACACTGATTGGAAAATATTGGTAAAATTACTGCGTAGCTACTCAGATTTATTGTCCTACAAGTTAGAGGAGCAGAGCAACGGACAATCTTCTCAAATAAGCTATGCTCCTCTATATATAACAACAGTAAATCTGAGTTGCACGCAGTAATTAAGCGTAGTTCAAGGGTTTAGGTGCAATTTCGTACATGTCGAAAAAATAATGTTAGGGAAACTTTCACGAACATTTTTAGAAGCTTCAAAAAGACTAAACAAAATTTCAATACAAAGAAAATTGTGTTTGCATGAAAATTATGAAAACGAGGATATGGGTGAAAAAAGTCCTGGAAATGAAAAAAGGAAATGTATGAAATCTCCACGTAATGTTAGTCGTATTTTCATGATATAGCTAACCAATTTACAACATAAGCGTAAGAAAGATGGAAAGGAATCTTTCAAGATCCTCGTGTTCTAAAATTTTGTAAAAGTTCATGAAACTTTACGTGAGGATTCACGGTGAAAACATTTAAGCTGATAAGAGAATATCCGAGTTTAACTCAATGAAGTTTGATTTTGTACCTCGTAGTGTTTCTATTTTATACGTAACTGAGTAATAGCGACAGTAAAACTTTCGGATGTGAAAGTGAACTTTCTCATTCTCCGTTTTTTTTTCGAAAATAAACCGTACCCCAATGTTCAGTATTGTGTGTGCTCTGATAATTTGAATAATACAGAAAGCAATGTAACGTAATCCTAAAATATGACATACCTACTTTTAATTTCCACGAAATGAGTATGTAGTGAGTATTAGTAGTGATAACAACATTTGTCTTTTAAAACCCGTATAATCCAACCCGCTCGGAATTTGTCGATTTTTGTTAACACGTTCTCAACCAAATATTGGCTTTTTACCGCGAATTTCCACTAAGCCTAACTAACTCTCTGACATAAAAATTACGTTCCATGCAAAAGCTGAGTTTGCAAACGCTTAAATAATTACCTTGATACCTCCCCCTCCCTGTTGATTGGTGAAGATTGCCTGTGTCGCGATGGGCTGGCGTGTCCCTAAAGGTGCAGAATGTTTGGAGATTTATTCCACAAGCCTGTAGAAGAACGCTGCCTCAAATTTAAACCTTCATTTGTCCTTTGTTTTCCCTTAATTGGCATCGTGTCCTTATTTTCACCAAAATGTACGTGATAGATGAGACGTGAAACAGTAATAACTTGTAAGTAGATGGCGGGGAAATGTTTTAAAAAATATTCGAAAAAAGAATACAAAACGAGGAATATATAATAATACCTTGCTACAACATAAATTGGAGTTCTTAACTAGGTATTAGATTTATATATCAACACAGCATGAGACAAAAAAGAGAAAAGAGTGGGAAAATTACATGTCGGATATCATACACAAATAAAAACCTATAAACAAACACTAATAAGACGGTTACGATAGGCAACAAAAAAAACTGCAAGTGTGTAGTAGGTGAAGATGAACAAGATACCATATTATTACTTAGATGTACTCTTATTGGTAATCACACTAACTACGTTTAACTATTGTGTATGAGATCTAGCAACAGAGTTAAAAAAAGAAGATCAACAGATAAAAAATCTTCGTGAAAAAAATAGAGCAAACAGAGAATCCTGTAGAAATTTCAATTATAGAATCTTTTAAGCAGTTGATGATATGAGGAAAAAAGGCAAAAAATATAACTCTCACATACAGAGCAGTCAACGGATAATAACATTAATATACTAATAAAAGGAAATCGCAAAATAAACAAACAATTAAAAAAAAAATAACTACAATAAAAAGCAAAACATCAATTTCATTAAAGTATGGAAATACTTGAAACCAGAGAAGAGAAATATATGAAGTTTAATTATCCTAAAAATTAAAATCAATCAGTACTTTTGTGTTACGTAGAACAAGAAAAGAACTGCCTGGGAGCAAAGAAGGAAATGTTTCCGTCGGATGTACGCAAACCCATTGATGGGTACAAATTTTACACATTTAATGGGTAACAGTTACTCATCAATAAGAGGCAAACCAGCCCACGGCATCAAGTCTCATTAATAAAGCTAACCTAAACTACTATTCAATGCACAAACACATTGATTCATTGCCAGATGATGGCAACTTACAATAAGCATAGCGAAACTATTGACTATACAATGACAAAAACCAAATTGAAGCAATACTTCAATTCTATTCGCTAATTACGAACACGCAATAGTAAGTTTAGTATAGTGTTTTGGATATAATATTGTTTAGACGTAAGACATGGTGACATGGCCCCTGACCCCCTTGTACATCATAAAATGAAAATGAAAATGAAATAATGTTTAGACGTAAGACATAACATGTAATCATTATTGTATCAAAACGATCTACTCTTGATTAAAGACAAATAAAAAAAATAAAAATCGGCAACAGATGCTCATTAAATGGGTAAATATAATATTTACCCATTAATGATGTTAACATTTTTTCTTCAAAATGGGTATTTTTTCCCATTAATGGGTACATTCAAGTCAGTGTGTAGGCTCTCTAACGGAAAAGGAGCAATGGACTAGTTGACCAAGGTAAATAAGGCAAGCTGTAACAAATCGACCATGGCTAATTGTAGATCAAAGAAGTCTAGATATGATCAAGATTGATCAAGAATTACTCAAAATGGAGGACTTTGGAAGAGGAACGGTCGAAGATTTCAATAAGTCATCTGGATATACTTTCAAGATTTCAGGTTTATCAGGGATTATTCTTCCAAGATGGTACACGGCGAATGAGAACGACCCAAATTTGAGTTTAGTCAACTCATAAATCACATAAAGTGCAGGAACTCAGCGATGAGTAAATTTGCCTCATGTTTTCCCAGGATTTTCCAGGGAAAAATTCCCGAATTTGAGAAAAGTAAAGATTGGATTCACTCAGTCTATTGATACTACTCCGAGACTGAATAAAATTTTCATCAATTTCCTCATTTTCCGGCAGTTTTTTTTAGGTTTTTCACAGGAAATGAGACAAATTTACTCATCGCTGAGTTCCTGCACTTTTGGCGATTATGAGTGAACTAAACTCAAATTTGGGTCGTTCTCATTCGCCGTGTAGGTTGATCAGGGGCAGTTCAGGGTTGAACACAATGATAGCGACACCAATACACCAATACACTGAAATTAAAGCCCTATACAGTAAAAGTATGGACGTCTGTCAAAAGTTGTTCCAATCGAACAGTCAAAATGCACTGCTTTGCTCGATTGGAACAGCTTTTTTCAGTTTTGTGGCGACACTCGTCCATACTTTAACTAGAAGGCTTTAACTGAAATCCGTTTGACAACCAACAATGAAGCGGCATTGTACTAAAACGCGTATTTTTTTTAACATTTTGGAAAACGGGGTGCTTTTGAGCGGCAGCCTGAAGTGTTCAATGTTGTCAGTTGTATTTTTTTTTTGTAATTTTGAGTAAATCAGAACCTTCACGACGTAAACCAAATAATCATCCATGGTCGTAGTAAGTAGTCAGAACCTTTATCCGGACATGATCAGGGTTCCCACCGGGGAAGTAGTCAGATTCTTCTTAACCAACACCCTGATGCGACGCATCAAACTACATCAGAATTCAAAAAAAAGATCATTGGTGGTTATATTAGGTACTTAGGGCCACGCTGGTCATACATGTTCCGGGTGCTCCCAGGGAGTTTAATAAATTTCCCGAAATTTTCCTTCCTTCTCCGGAGTTCTCGGAACTTCGATGAATTATCTTCAGAACTACTCTGAAGTTCTCCTCAGAACTACTCTGATGTTCTCCTCAGACTTACTCTGAAACTCTCCACAGAAATGCTCTGAAGTTCTCCTCAGAACTACTCTGAAGTTGTCGTCAGAACTACTCTGAAGCTCTCCTAAAACTACTGTAGATCTTCGATGAAGTTTTCAACATTTTCTTGAAAAATTTCTCTTGAAGATCTTTAAACAGTTGGGACTTCCTTAAAGATATCTTAACTTACAGAAGTTTTTTTTACTTTTCAATAAATTAGAGTTCTCTGGACTTCCCTAAAATTCACGGAACTTTCCTTAAGCTCCCGCAGTTTTCCTGATATTCATAACTCTTATCCGAAGCCCTCGGTATTTCCCCACGGTTCAAGGTACTTCTTCAAAGTGCTCCCACATTTTCTGATGTTAATGTAGATTCAGAGACGATCACTGAACTTCGGAGAATTTCAAAGCCCCTTAGATATGTGTACAAGAATTCAGATTGATTAATTATTCAGAAGACCTTCTACTGGCATTTCTTCAGTATGTCAGCTGAATCAGAGATTATTCAAATAACGAATTCATCAAAATAATTGTTTTTACGTGGTTTGTTTACGTATAGCATGCAGCGGAAGAGGAAAAATAAATAAATTTTTCGCACATGCATTGTGGGTAGGAATGGGTAGCCCTTTCAAATAACCTCCAGCAAAGATATCTAATTAATAAGATATCCCACTATTTTTTTTTATTTTTATTACAGTCACTTTAAATTGGCTCACTACTTGACTAGCCTATTCTGCCGCTCTTCGCATGTCGGTCCCATAGCAGTTTTTGTCAAAACTGAGTTTTACAATGCAAATGGTAGCTGATCACCCATATTTTCTTAATACTGGATGAACTCAATAACTTTGTTCTGAAAAAGTTTGGAAAGACAGCCAAATTGGTTGTCTCATCACATAAGAAGCAATGGTACGAATCAAGCTTAAAATGCGATTTTCTCGGCTTGCTGATTTTTACCATGGGACCGACATGCGAAGATCGGCAGTATTGGTCCCAAGTAAATCGATTAACGTATCCCATTCTAGTCGAAATACTAGTAGTATACTATGTTTGGTTTGATTCACTATGAAAGTTTGTCCGGCCACATTAATGTCAACATCAGATTTAATCAACACGACTCTAAAATCTGTAGGCTTATTATATTCAAGAGCAAAATAAAACAGAAGACAGTAAATTTTTTTTATTGTCATTTGATAATATAAGAAAATGAACCTCCATCAACCGGTTTCAATTTGTTAGGATTATTTAATTTCACCACGAAAATAATACATTCGTACTTAGCATTCTTGCCTGTTGTTTGATATCCGCACATGGAGAAACGAAAGGTTGGATTCCCATAGAGAAATGTCATTGCGGCGGTGAAGGACAATCCCATTGTTTATGTTGTGTGGTGACATCTACTATTTGCAAGTGGGTACGTGAAACTAAGGCTATCTGTCACCTAGCCGGGGACTTGGGTATAAACAACAATCAATACGAAACTATCGATTTTAAATTGGCTCATTACTTGACTAGCCTACTGGTCTCAAGCAAATCGATTAACGTACCCCATTCTACTCAAAATTCTAGTACTACACAATGTTTGTTTTGATTCACTATGAAAGTTTGACAGATAAAATGAGGGGTTAGTGGAATTTCCTATGTTTCGAGGGGTGAATCGATTAGCTTGGGACCGAAGATAGTACCAGAGCTGAGCCAAAAAGTAGAGCTCGTTTCTTCGGGACTTACTAGTCTTAGAGTTACCTCTATGCTACCACCATGCCAATCTCTAATAGTAATTGATGATTTGTGGAGCTGTTGCTCAAAATAATCTTTATAAGTATAGAAGTGAAGACAGCATATCAAGAAGACTGGCAACTCTTCCATTTTCTCGTACGACCGCTATGAGGCAGATACAATCGCGTCATCTTGCCGCTCAAAGACAAATGCTTCGAACGTATTTGATAGCAAAGATTACATCCTCAGAAGAAAGGTTTGTGTATTTGCTAATTTTTCTATCCAGCATTTTACCACCGACGAACCGACATGCCACTGGAGCATTTCGTTTGTCCACAATTCGATTTGTCAAATGAGCGATTCGATCTGTCAAACGGGCGATCAGATCTGCCAAACGAGGTGAGACGGAAACCAAGGCAATATAAATTTTACGTGTGTTCGTGTCTTTGCTCACGATATGACGCGATCGAATGAGTAGATGGCGGTAGGGTTTAACGTATTTTAAATATGGCGTCTTGGGCAAAAATTTGTACGTAGCTTCTATGAGCTGGCACGTCGGTTCGTCGGTGATTTTACGAGTGCTCATGGCCGCCACAATCTGGTTGAGTTTCTGGTAGGGAATATATGATTTGAAGTTTGGCTTGTGTCGTTTGACCTCTAAACGGTCAAATTTGATCGTTTAACGTCAAACGACCTAACCCAAACATCAAATCGAATGATCCCTACCAGAAACTCAGCTAGATTGTGGCGGCCATCAGCGCTCGTAAAATGCTGGATACGTTGCTTCCACCTTCGCTCAAGTTGCAGCGCAACTGTTTCTGTCGCTTGGATTCTGCCAAAGTTGCCAGTCTGCTTAATATGATGTCTTCGATAAAAGTAAATACAGAAAAAAAAACATTCCCCCTCCCTAACGCATTATTCCAACACCCCAGCCACTGGAAATGCAACGTATCGAAATCATTGCTAAACAAAAAAAAAATGCCATTCTATTAAAAAATTATGCGGAATAATGATTACTTTCCTATTTTATAACGTATTTGACCACACCGACGAAGGCAAACGCAAACGGAAGCTGCCGAAACTGAATGATGACGATAAGTGATGATAATTTGCGATTTCGAAAAGAAACGTCAACCAAACCATTTGTTTACATCAGAATAACTATTTTCACAACGCAAATTAAATCATTTTTCATTCAACATCTTGCCAATTTCTATCGTAAATTGTCTTATTGTTCGATTTTTTCTAATTTGTACCTTAACTATCCACACACAAGAAATCCGGAAGATCATAACCACTAAGGCACTGCTCTAATTTTCCATTTTTCGCAACAAAAATATTCCTGTACACCGATGTTTGCAAAAACGTTACATAATTAAATTTTTCAACTGTAGGTTAAGTTTTTGAGCATCTCAGATGAATCAATTTATCAGGAAAAGTAAAAAAGTGTTCCGCTTTCTATGTCTCAAGGCAAACATTTATGCTCACAACACTCTTTTTGACATTCTCCTATTCACCACCAGAGGTTGAATTTATCGTTTAGTTTCTATTAAAAATGCCTATTAGGCTGTGAACCTTTTGCCGAGTTAATTAAACTCGTGGTTAAAAGTGACATTTCGAAAGTTATTTTCTATGTTCGAAAATTCCTTTGCTGTCGATCGACCGGTTTTCGAGAAGAACTTAACCAAGGTTGTCAAAATTTATCTTCTTGTCTGGCAGAAGTAACCACGCTTGGAAAGCAGGGTTAATCTAAAGAGCCTAAATTTATAAAGAGGCGACATGTCAATTTTTTTTTTTTTTTTTTTTTTTCAATTATTTAAAAGATTTTTAGCCTTAGGCTAGTTCATTTCTAAATGTCAAAATTGGAACAATCGATTGTCTTTTAAAGTTATAGAAAAAGTCATTCCAATCGAGCAGAAGACCTGTCAAATGGATAAGATGTCGTCTCTTTATAAATTCAGGCTCTTCAGGTTAATCGATAACTTCCCATCTGTCAAATTTTAACCAAAAGTTAAAATAATCCACCAAATGGTTCAGAGCCTTAATAACTTGCATCCAACATTAAAACTTGACAACATTGTACCAGCACAACCATGCTCCATCAACTTTATGGATGTAGTTGTTCCGTTTTTCAATCCGTTCCTTTTACAGTCTTGAGAACGTCAAAAAGTATTCACATAAACAAAAGCTGTCCTCCATCGTTCATCAAAAACAGTGTGAATTCGGTTGAAAATATTGCTTGATTAATCGTAATTGTTTAAAACAAGTAAGTTCGGTGCATTTATTTCATCCACCGTATTCTCCTTTACAAGAATATTAGTTGAAAATAACTTTCAGGTGTCAAAATGGGCGACAACTTTGGAATCCATCGGGGACCGCCTTCGAAGAAGACGGCATCGTCTACCGACAGTAGCGAGGATCGCACCCAGGGTCAGATCCTTAGCGATTTCCTAGTTCAGCTGGAGGATTACACTCCCACGGTTGGTATTTTCCCCTATACTGTTTCTTCTAAGTATATTTTTTAATAATCCGCGTCATATTTTTAGATTCCGGATGCTGTCACATCCTACTACTTGAACACGGCTGGGTTCGAGGCGTCCGATCCAAGGATGTAAGTTTGATAACATTTTTCTTTTTCATAGGACACCTTGTTTAATCGTTATAATCGAAATTATTTCCAGCGTTCGTTTGATTTCGATCGCCGCCCAAAAGTTCATTTCGGACGTGGCCAACGATGCGCTGCAGCACTGCAAAACACGCACAAGCAATGCGCCGAGTTCGGGCCATGGCTCGTCGAAGAATCAGAAAGCCACATTGTCCAAGGACCGAAAGTACACCCTAACCATGGAGGATTTGCAGCCCGCTTTGAACGACTACGGCATTACCGTGCGCAAGGCGCATTACTTTGTCTAGTGGAGTAAGTTGTGCGCGAGTGTTCAACTTGGTGTAGCTCTGTACCCGTTGTGATGGAATGAAGAATGTATAATATCTGCCTGGAATATAAGGCATGCTATTTAAATGGTTCAATAACAGTGCGATGACCTTCCATATATATTTCTTTTTTAATTTTTGTAATCAGTTCACTTAGGGTCGTTTTCTTCATCTCCGCTTAAAGGTTAAACTTGGGTTAAATCAAGTTTAACAAAATTTTAGAGCTTGCTTAACTTTTTTTTTAATTTTTTTTACCACCGCTTAACGGTTAAACCAAGTTTAAAACTTACCGCCCTGTCGTTTAACTTAAGGGCTGGTCTGAGGTGGTTTAGGAGCAATAAGCAAGCGTTAAGCGGCGATATTCAACTTTTGATTTTCTTCACTGAAGGGGATGGTGCGGATACTTGATCCGTTACAGGTGATTTTACCCCACAAGTTTTTTTTAAATGGTGTTTATTGACTGACCACGTTATTATAGCACCAGACTCTTCAATATTATAATCATAATCAAATTGATCACACTAAAAAATGAATAATGGATACCACTACCACTTGAACTTGCTCAAAACAGGCTTTCCCAATCTATTAAAAATTGCTTTTTTAAATAGCTGTATCTATGTTTGATGAACATGCTTCAATCTGCACTTTGTCTTAATTTCTTACTGCCCGCATATAAAATAATCGTAAGAAGTGCCTATTCGAGTTATCCCCGCGAGTGAGGCGACTCCGTGCAAATCAAATGGAGAGTCACCTCACCTCACTCGCGGCGCAGAATAGGTTTCATCATCTCAAATCTATGCGTTATAGCCGCACGATCTGTGATATATTATTTGTAAGGGTGGTAACGTAATACATTAAATTGTTGCGTTGTTTGAATCTAGGTTTGAATTGCAAAATATATTTACGCTATTTTCATCAGATGTTTTCGGGCGGCAATTCATGTCTTGTTACTGTGAGTTATTTTCCGATTTGTGAGTGGTTAAAATCCGTGTAAAATATCAACAGTCCAGCTAATTGTTATTGCTTATGCAGTATTAAATAAAACTGCAATCCAGGTTGCAATCTATGCCGAGGCCCAAGGATGTGTTAAACAGGGTAAACACTATCAGATGTCGAGGTATTTGGCAAATGTTCAGTTGTTCCAGATTGTTTTAAGGTGATACGATCCACAAGAGTAATCTGCAAAATGGCTGACTTGTACTTCTGTGTTGTACTGCCATTTCGAATTTTCTCGGTAGTATATCTTGGACACTACTTAGTGCGATTTCAGGCATGAACTTTGAATAGACGCAATAGTTTTAATATTGTATGTTTAATGTGAAGTGCGATTCAAAACACATATGATCGGCTTAAACTGACGATTGTATTGGACATATACTACTACAACTGTCCCCTAAGAACGCGTTACCCACTGAGTTCTACCCACAGCTTTGTCTCTGTGGGTTTTCAACCAAGCGCTCTGATTTTCTGTGGGTGCAACTCAGTGGGTAACGCGTTCTTCGGGGGATAGCTGTATATTAATATAGAGTTCTCCAGATGCACAAGAGTGTGCGTGTCACAGCAGGAATCCTTTTTAAGTAGATGTGATATCGCGGGGTACCTTCTTGGTTCTTCTTCATTCTTTCTTCTTTGCTTTTTTTTCCTTTTTATGTATCGACGTTTGATTATAGTGTTCGTGAGATTGTGCTTGGAGATCTCTATAAGATAGTTATAAATGAAGCAGTGTCTAATGTGTGTGTGTGTGTCATCCTCTATCCCTCACCCAGCCGGGGGCGTTGGACAAGTAGAACTGCGAATAATTTGATCAAATCTCATGCTCCGTAATGGTGCCCTTTATGTTGTGAAGACTAGTACTTCAAAAAGGGTAACTTTTGAGGCAAGACAGGGTGTCCTCAACAAGTTAAGGGAACAGGATGCACTAGATGTCCACAACAGGTACAGCAAAACATCACATACATCACTAACTACTCAGGGGAGAGAAGGTCAAGAAGAGCCACCGCCGCCAACTAAAGCTTGAACCGGGTACCTGGGACTCCCACGATATACCCGCGGCAATGGTCAGCAGACGATGCCCTGTGCGTATTTAGTAAGTAATATGTTTTATTTGGATACACAAAATGTTTGAAGCCATGCGTCATCTAAACCATAATTTGCATCACCACAAATACACTTGTCAACAATCTTCAATTGGGTTCTTTAAGGGTATTGAGGTAAATGCATATTCGTAATCTGCATTAAAAATGGAACCCAAACCCAAAGTTTCATAAATTTTGGTACACTGGAACTATTTTAAATAAGTACGATTACATTTGCAAAAATCACCTTATTAGCGCTCCTCGGTGTCACTTTGCATGGGAGCGAGCTGTCAGTTTGTCCGTTTAGTGTCAAACAGTGAAGTTATTATTTTGCTTTATATCTTGATTTAAAAATCGAGATGAAAGTGTGTGGGTTCGAAAAAAATATCGCTGTGCTCAGAAAACAAAGCTCTTTCAGATGATAAATAAAAACGGATATATTTTTCGAAATTAAAGAACCCAATTGGAACGTACTCACCAAATCACTTCACCCGGGAGCGCATTCCCGATGCTTCCACGCATATTTTTCTCTCCACTCTCATAAATGAAGCAGTGTCTAATATACACTTTTTGGGAGCACATTTTTTCGAAAAAAAGGTATCCCAAGGAATAGCTGCAATAGAGCATTTCAGTACCAACATTTCAAAGGGGCGTAATATAGAAATCGACGGTTGAAGCCATTGTTTACAAATACAATTACGCTCCTTTAAAATGTTGGCACGTATTTTCGGAGACGTCTCTGATCAGCTGATTCTTCAATTCATGAATAAACTTTGACAGTAACCTAAAGACTGTGAGAAGCAATATCAATAGCATCACATTCTATCAGGCAAACTGGCGCCTTTCATTTCGTAAAATGAACTATACGTTTCCTTACCTCACGGGTAATATCGTTATCAGTGAAGTGTTCTAAGCTATATAAATTCCTCCACTACTACTTCACATTTATCACCACTTCATATGGCGTTCCCTATTGGCGTTGATGACTGTCTCGGAGCAGGAATACTAGCTTTACTCCAACGGTTTTTCCCATTGACGTGTGCATAAAAAAAATCAAACAACTTCTCTCCTTCACCTTCTCGTGTAGAACCGTAATCAAAATTAACACACTCGTTTGAACAAACTCATACTCTAAAAAAGGCTTCATGACCCAGATATCAAAAATTCTGCATGGCAAGGTATGGGAAAGAAGTTTTAAAATGCTTATAGTTTTCAAATTAAGTACTTTAAATTAATTTGAGTGTTAATGTGGCGCGACAGATCCAATCTTGTTATCCGATCCAGGAAAAGCCCTCTAGTAAAAGTTTGGACGTCTGCCAAAAAATGTTCCAACTGGCAGTGTTCGGAAAATCTCAAATACTCAAATCTCACGCTTCAGATTATTCGCTTATGGGTTTTGCCTTGAGCAATTCAACTGATAATGATGATGATGATAGTGGTCTACCACTCATTGTAGCACGGAAACTAGTCCGATAGCAGTAGGCTCTTCTCACTGTTAAACTTGATCAAGCTTAATATCCTTTGATTGTCATCAGCAAATCGCTGTATGAAGGGCCAAAACGAATGGATTAGATTGATAGGCAATTCGCCTATTCATTTCCTTGGGACAGTTAAGAATCTCCTACCAACAACTTGATCAGCCAATTCAGAAAACGAGCCATCCAACTGGAAGATGCCCCAATGAATGAAGAGAAGAGCCCGCCCTTTATCCACAAAATGTTTTCAACAGAGAGTTGACATCTTCATTCTCCCCATCTAAATCGCTTCAATTGGGTGTCCTTCCTAATTTCGAATTTTCGATATTTAGTAATATCATAGAGGTAACTCTAAGACCAGAAGGTCCCGAAAAAACGAGCTCAACTTTTTGGCTCAGCTCTGGTACTATCTTCGGTCACAAGCTAATCGATTCACCCCTCGAAACATAGGAAAATCCACTAACCCCTCATTTTATCTGTCAAACTTTCATAGCGAATCAAAACAAACATAGTGTAGTACTGTAATTTATACTAGAATGGGGTACGTTAGTCGATCTGCTTGGGACCAATAGGCTAGTCAAGTAGTGAGCCAATTTAAAATCGTTTGTTTCGTATTGATTGTTGGTTATACCCCGCACAGACTATGGCTTATATCTAGGCGCCTAATACATAGGTGACACAGTAAGAAGAAGTGTTATTTTGTTTACTAAAATGAACTATGCCCATTTTGTTATGGCAAGTTTTGCTATAAGAAATGCTCCTCGTGTTCATTAGCGAAATTCACATCAAAGATTGATTAATTTCTCAATGTTTCAACTTTATCCTAACATAAACTTAATATTATCACCCATATGCTCGTCCAGACCCGAAACTCAACTCTCACACAAAATCAAATAAAAAGGTGTATGGCCGGACATAAACGAGAACTGCATTTTACTCAGGCACTTTTGAGCGAACTGCAATCACCCTCTCATACTCGAAATGTGCCACGAACAACCTGGCACAACGAAGCCCTATACGCTCTCCGATCAAAGCGCAGGGAGTTTTGCCTTGCAAAATTCAGCTGCACTAAAATCACCAATGAGTTTCAGGTTCAACCATTCACTGCTTTGTTCGATTGGAACAACTTGTATCAGTTTTCTGATGACAGTCGTCCATACTTTTACTAGAGTGCTCCAACTCCATGTTGCCTTTCTTTCTTGCCAAATTAAATTTTATAACCCTATTCCTCCCCAATTGGGAACACACGGAAACTGGACCAAACATAAACAAACCATCCGACAGAAAAATCTCGATTCGCCATTTTTAAAGCTTCCCGGATATTGCTGCGATACTCACACACTCTCACACCGTTGCGAACTATTTTTAGTGCTTATCACTCGTCGTGGACGGAGCTGTATGAGTGTGCATTCGATTGGGTGAGGAAATCGACGGCAGCATAAACATAAGAAGCTTTATTTTTAACTCGAGTTGTTCTCCTCGTCCCAACCTAATGGGGTGTTTA